TATATATTAGCCCAATTAATCTTTATAATGAAGTTGTTGTTCGGTGCCACAGTGCCACACCAGGAGTTCAATAATAGGAGATTTTAGTACATCACTTTTGGTAAAGGACAGAACAACGAGAAAGAAACTCAACAAATCAATCAGTTTGATTTATACAAATCATTCAACTCAACATCAGTACAATACACATTTTTTTTTTCCAGTGAACATGGAATATTCTCCAGAATTGACCATCTGTTAGGCCAAAACTCAAGCTTTAATAAATTTAAAAACATTGAAACAAAACAAAGCATCTTTTCAGAAATCAACAATAGGAAGATTAAGGGGTGGGGGGTGGGAGGGAATCCAATACATGGAAATTGAATACCATCCTGCTTAAAAGCGACTGGGTAATAAGAATAAATAATAATAATAATAAAAACGAAGTAAAAAAATTCCTTGAATCAAATGAGAATGATAGTACAACATACGAAAACCTTTAGGACATATAAAAATCAGTGCTTAGAGGGCAATTTATAGCAATAAATGCACACATCCAAAAATCAACACATTAACACATCTCCAACAATTAGAAAAAAAGACCAGCAAAGTAAGCCTAAAGCTACCAAAATAAAAGAAATAATAGTGATTAGAGTAGAAATAAATGAATTAGAAAACTGAAAAGCAATAGAAAAAAATTAAAAAGACACGAACTTGGTTCTTTGAAAGGATTAATAAAATTGACAAACCATTGTCAGATCTTATAAAAGAAAAGGAGAAGATGAAAATAACATGCATAGGAAATGATATAGATGATATCACAACAGAACAGGTCTGTCTTGTTAAACTAATCAAATTATTCCGTTTCCTTAACCACAGTCACTGGTTCAGCTACAGGTGGATTACAGAACTATCTTGTGAATAGTTGTTGGTGGTGTGCCGTGGAGTCGGTTCTGACTCATAGTGACCCTGCATAGGGTTTCCAAGGCTGTAAATCTTTACAGGAGCAGAAAGCCTCATCTTTCTCTCGTGTAATAGCTGGTAGTTTTGAACTGCTGACCTTGAGATTAGCAGCCCGACTCATAACCACTTCGCTACCAGAGCTCTTTTAGTTAGAAGTGCTTTTTCCCCAACTAGAGGAAAAGTGTTAGCCCTGATTACCTTTAATTATGAGGAATATGAACCTAAAGATGAAGGAAGACGACAAAAATGAACAAACTTACAGAAATAGGATTGATGCATTTGAGTTATGTTGTTAGAGAAGAATATTTAAAATACCACGGACTGCCAGAAAAACA